CTGCCATCTATGTGCAAGCAAGTAGGTGAGTGTATGCATGTATGAGTGTGTATGCTTGTGTGTGGGGGGAGACCAGAGGTCAACACTGGGTGTTTTCCTCAAACATTCTCCAACTTACTTTACAATATCTTTCACTGAACCTGAGCTTGCTGATTGGCTAGACTAGCAGGTTAAAGCCCCAGGAATCCTGCTGGCAACTGGGACTACAAGTACCCAACACTATGGGTTTTTGTATGTGGGTGCTAGGGAAAGTCACCACCCAGCAATAGGATTGCAGTGCTCAGCTTTGTAAGTGGGTGCTGGGGATCTGAACTCAGGTCCCTAATGCTTGTGCACTGAATACTGACTAACCCATTTCTCTAGCCCCTTACTTAGTTGTTTATAATCAGCATATATTAATTAGAAACAATAGGTTTCATTATGACATCTTCATATGTATACTTATTTTAATAATATTTATCCCCTTCATATTTTACCCCTGGCACTTCCACTGTCCCCTTCTCCTCCCAGCTAGCCCCTCTTTGTACTTTCATGTTTTCTTTTTGCCATTGGTTTAGTGACCCACTAGGGTGGCTTATGGGAGCATGGGGGAAGGTTCGTTTACATCAAGGACATTTTATCAGTAGATAGACCTTTAAGGAAAATGCCTTTCCTTCCTTCATCAACTCCATCAACCTTTTAGATCCTCAGGGAGGGATGGGGCCTATGAGCCTCTCCTCACTCCATGTACAGGAGTGTGTTTGGGCCCTACGTTTTATAGGTTTTGTGCAGGTGATCACAGCTGCAGTAGCTTCAAGAGTCAAACAGCCACATCATGCTCAGAAGGCAGCATTCTTAACCACTCCCCAGCTTCCTCCTGCTCTTTCCATTCTTTCTGCTTCTTACTCATCAGTGTTCCCTGAGCCTCCCTGGGGCCTGATGGCAATGTCTTATTTACAACTGAGCATCGGCGAGTCACTTATTCTCAGAACTTGACCAGCTGTGAGGTTCCAACCTGCAGGGGTTTTGCTGGCTGTTTTTCTCATCTCTTTCTACCATTGTAATACTAGCCCCTCCCTCTCTCAACATCCCCCCCTCACTATGGGCTTTGGTGATTAATTCACCCACTTGCTTAGGAAGTTGCTTTCCATCTGAGAAAATTAAAAACACCACTCTCAGGACAGGGATGTGGGATAATAATGGGAACCACACAGATATGAGTCTGCCCTGCTATGGGTGTATACCCAATATCCATCAAAGAACACAATGTGTGGCCGATTCCAATGCATTCCTCCCAGACAGCCTAAGTGCTCAGCATTCAATAATAATTTCTTTTGTAAAAATTAGAGGAACCAGTGACTTTATTTTTGAACATAAATATCAACTTTCCCCCACTGTAGCAAGCTATATTTACTATCATGCTAACTCTAAATGTGTTCTCACCACTCCTCTATCCTTACTCTTAGGAATGTGGCATATTCAACCCAGGAAGACCAAGAGCTGCAAGGAACTCCTTAATGGATAGACGCTGCTAAGTTTAACTCCTACACAACACCCCCAGATACCACATATGCCAAAGAAGGCAGCTCTTATATGCCTGGTCTCCAAAGACATAAAACACAAGGTACCCACAAGTCATAAGGAATTAATGAGACAAGCCATACAGAAACTCCCCCTAGCTGGTGCTGCCATGTGCAAGAAAATCCGGTATCCTAGTTTTCACAGGACTCTGCTCCATGTTTATATTTGCAGGCCTTCCAGTCTCATTTATCAGGGTTGAGGGTTGGGTCACAATTTTAAAGTTAGGATACAGGAATACTGTTTTAAGGGAAAACCAGTTACTCTGAAGGACACATTTTTTTTAGTCCATTTCTGGTATTTATTTCTTTTTGATTCTGAACTCTTATCATCAAATCTGTTATTAATCTATCTCTTTCTGAGTCTCCTTCAGACTTCAATTAACCAGCATTTTGACACTAGCCATCCGTGGGTCAATAAGCAGGGAGGAATAAGTCAGGGGAAGGTTGGTGTTTGGATCAGTTTAAAGTCAGGCACAGTAACACAGTAACCAGAAATCCCTCCTACAGCTCAGTGGAAATTCTGAAAAACATCCAACTTCTGTGCTTGCTGTCCCTGCGAACTAAATGACACTAATGCTCCTTTGTCTTTGGGAGTGATTTATAATTTACAGAGGCAAATGATCTCATTTAATCCACTCCCCCTCCTCTCTCAGGGACCCCATGAGGCAAGGGAACCACCACTATGAGATAATGCTGGAGCAGCCTGGGAAATTCCACCATAGGTGATGGATGATGGGGGGATTGTCTGGGCCCCTCGGCTTTCCCCTCACTATGGGCTTTCGTGATTAATTCTCCCACTTGCTTAGGAAGTTGCTTTCCATCTGAGAAAATTAAAAACACCACTCTCTGGACAGGGATGTGGGATCATAAATGAGAACCAAATAGAAAAAGATTTACACAAAAACACAAGCTCAGCAAAAGAGAAAACTCTGACATTGCTAACAAGAAATAAATCAAATAAAGGCTATTAGCAAGCCCCTGGTGTGTGGGGAAGCCTTCAAAATGTTTTGCTGAGTTCTTAACAATGTCATTTCTACCTGAGGTGTTCAAATATCTCTAGAGTAATTTGGCCTGCATTGTCCAGCACTGTTGTGGACACTTGCCACCGAGAAAGACCTCACACAAAAACCCAAGAGTGCTGGAGAGGACGCTGTAAATGTCTATGATCTTTAGGGCAGTAGGGTCTTCCTCAGCCAAGCACTCCTGAAACAGTGCTTCCTATTCTAGAGGCTGAGTGGGTGGCTGGCTGGCTGGGAGGCAGGGAACACTGATGGACCTATGCATTTTTGAGAACAAGGCTCACAAAGGCCAGGACTTTGCTTCTCTGCCCGTGGGCATGAAAGCCATTGGGCCATAAGAACTGGGATGACATGATTTCTTCACTCCAACCCAGTGGTCTGTGCCTAGACTTTCCTCTTCCATTTTCTCTTATCGAAAATTAAAAAGCATGAGCTATGTTAGCTGGCAACACAGTCGGTCAGTAGGGACCTTTTCTGGAGGTGTGTGGGTTGATGTATTAGTGTCCACGGGATAATCAGGGGAATGAAGCATAGAGAACATTTGATCTGTCCTCTGAATGGGTTCATCAAGAATGAGAAAGACACAAAGACCACCCTGCTGCAGGCCAACTCCTACCAGTTCGACTTTGAGCCACTCAGCATGTTAACCAGGGAGGCTGGCCCTATCTAGACCCCCAGGGTAGTGAGACAGAAGGTCCACACAGGCCTCAGACCAATTTCACACCCTAAGCAGTGGCTCCTTGCCCTAAATGTCCAGCTGGTTCTTCCCCTCTGTTAGGATTTGTATTAAGGGAATATTACATTTTAGTCTGGCCAGCCTTCCTTTCAGAGAATACCACTCATTAGTCTCTAGCAGGCACATTCAACCTCTGACATTGTGACATGATGTCATCTATTAAGTTCACATTTGAGAACTGCACAACTGAGCTGTAAAAATAAAATTGCAAAAGAAATATCTCATCATGTTTTAAGTGGGTGTACAATTCTGTGTTGTGCCAAATTTGTCTCTATTTTAGGCTGCGTGTAGCTTGTGGGCCAGGGGTGGGCCATGCCTAGAGCTCCCTGACAGTGCTGCTTTAGACTCTCTTCACTTTCAGTCAGGTCCTGCCATCACTAAACAAGGCCAAGATGACTCTATCAATTATGTTTAAGGCAGAACCGTGAATGAACCGTTGCCCCTGCACGTTTAGTGTGCTGATGAGGGTGACCTGAGGCAGCAGTAACTTGCTGTGAAGGACACCTGAGCAGTGGCTCGCATGAGGTGGCAAGGCTTTGATATGGGCTGTTTGGTTTAGTCAAGCCTTTATGGTGTCCTAAAAACCACTTGGTAGGAGCCCTTCTGGGTGCTGTTTGCAAAGGCAAGACCACATTCTTCAATCCTCCCTTCTTCATGTAAGGGCAAGGCTGCATTCTTCAACAACCCTCCCCTCTTCTGGGACTTTTAAGCTCATAGGCAGCTCTTCTCTCTCACACCATGGTTTCTGCTTGCCTGCAAGGCTTTCCAGAGCCCAGCTGTTGGGTCATTTGGTCATCACTTTTTGGTCCTAATGTCACAATTCAACAAACTTAGACAGTAGGCTTGGCTGGGGAAGCTCCTTGATAGAAGTGTTTACATGGTCTTGGATTTTAATGTAAGGACAGGGCACTGTACCCAGTGTGTGCTTTCCCTTTCTAAGCTTGCCCAAGCCAGCCCACCACGCCAGTTTGTCTCTTAGAGTTGTCAGAAGACATCTGCATCTTGAAATCCCCCCAGGTAGCATCTGTGTCACCCTCACTCAAGGGTGTCAATGGTGAGACCAGCTTCTATTTTCTTTCAGTCGGAACCCAAGTCTCAGGTTTCAGAAAGACACTGAGGGAAATGGAATCACCTAATCATTGGAAGCAGGAAAATCATTTCATTCAAACCCCTGAGGTCTGGTTAAGTGGTCTATCAACATGGGTACTGTAACCAAGTCCCACCCCCATCCAACTGGAGGCGAAAGGTACCTTCTACCCAGCATGCTCCAGGATGTGACCCTCTAGGACACATGGCCCATTTCAATTTGTAGTGTGAATTCTCAAGGCCCCCAGAAGCCTGGCTCCTCCAGCCGATGTCAGCTGAAACCGAATGCTCAAATCAGAAACATGTCCTGCGATTGTAGGATAATTTGCGATTTCTGAATAAAAGCATCCATCCCCACTGCATCCCAGGGAAGAGGCCAGCCCTTGTGCTATGTGGCATTGAAGCTGGCTGTCCATGACTCGCCAGAACACACAGTCCACTCTTGCTCCTTGTGCACGAATTTCTTTCAGGAAAATTCTATGGATTCTTCAGTCAGAAAACTAGGGGAGGGAAGCATTTCCTCTTTTTCTAAGACGATTCTCAGCACACAATTCAAGCTGTGCACAACTCACTCTTGGGCCACTGGAGCCTGGTACTTACCCGGTGGAAGGGTTCATGATGCACCCTCCTTTCTCTGCAGCCATCCTGCAGCTGCAGCCCCTCTCCAGTGTGTCATGGTTCATTCCGAAATTGTGGCCCAGCTCATGTGCCAAGGTCACGGCAGCACCAAGGGGGCTATCTGAATGGTCCTCAAAGGAAATACAAGAGCACAGATTTACAGTTCACATCTGCTTGGCCTTTTCTCACTCATCTTCTTGCCTCTTGGCATTTTCCCATCATTAACACTTGGTTTAACTGAATTCCCCATAAGGCCCAGTAGAGAGCTTTGCTATTAACTCTGAACATGGGAAGTAATTTGGCCTATTTCATTAAGCCCATTTGGGGGTTCTTCTCATGAAGGCTGTCTCATGTTTATGTGAGGATTCTTTGCTGATCTCCCCTCTGCAAAACTCCATTGATAGAGGCAAAAAAGTTATTCCTAATGATAGAAAGAAAAAGGCTACCTGATCAAGAGAATTCTGAATGGAAGATGCTTTCAAATCATCCCTGAACAGATAGACTTAACCCTTTTTCTTCCTTTCTGCCTGGTAGCAGAGGACTCTGGGAAAGTTCTTGACAACCCACAATAATAGCTGATCTGAATTAAGATTATAATTCAGTTATGTCTCACTCTTTCTGGCCCTTTACATTGACCTTGGACATAGAGAAGTCCCCATTCTCTGATGGAGCTGCTGGAGTTCACATTAACCTTTGGCTACCAGCAAGTGTTGCTGGCTACCTCAAGCTTACTGGAATCCCTGGACAGCTTGGGTCAAGTAGACACTTAAAAACAACTAGAAATATAGGTATTTAACTTAAGACTTGTTAATTGGTAGATGTGATTTATAGAAATTCTGCCAGTGAGTGGAGTTTTAGAAAAGGTGTTCGGACCCTGGGGCAAATGAATGTCTTGCTTGAATTTTGTTTTGTGTTACCCAAAAAGAGATTGCAGGTTTTCTACAACATATCCAGAAGAGAGGATAATAATGTATTCTAGGAAAACTCTTATTTCCAGTCTTTATGAGGATGCTGGGTAAAGGTGCGTTTCTGTGAGAACTGATGGATTTAGTGGTGGCATCATCAAGGGCAGGATTTTCTCACTAGCCCATTGTCTAGTAATGCATCTAGAAAGCAAGTTGTTCTTAGAATAGATGAAGTTCCTGATGAATTGCTTCATTTACACCTCACAGTTTCCTGTTGTAGGAAGTACTGTAGATATGTTTCAGGAAAGAATTCTTAATCAGGAGCATTGATGGAGGGAATGTTGCTGCTGTAACATGTGGAGGGCAGAATTTCATTAGCACACTTTGGCACAAAATTCAAGGAGCTTGTTCCTCAAGAATACTCAGCTGCTGGTTTTTCTATCCTGTGGAACATCACAGTTTTGTTTCTAATTATTTAAGTTATTTTACACCATGCTTAAGTAATTATATAGAAGGATTACTGGTAATCTCTTTATACTAGCTTACAATGAGGTAGAACACATCTTTTTGTGTGTCTGATGGCATGTCCAAATCAAGAGGGTTTTTGTTGTTGTTGTTTAGGTTAGTTAGATACAAAGACATGGCTTTAGATTACTAAGAGTACTAAGAGTACAGTTGACATTATCTTGAAGAAATGGAGAAATGGTCTTAGAAGTCATATTTTTGGCTATTTGTCAATCATTTCCTTTCTCTGTATTTGAGGGTCATTTGGTATGGTGATGGTCACACCTAATACACATGAATCCAACTTTAGGATGTAATAATGGAAAGCTAGTGTAGACATTTTAGGTCTGGGCAGGTTTAAATTTATTTTTAAATTATGTATGTACATGACTGTGTATGTGTGTGGGTTTGTCCATGTGAGTGTAGTGACCATGGATCCTGGGAAAGGGTACGGGATCCCTTGGAGCTGGAATTACAGGTGGTCAGGAGCTGTCTGACTTGGGTCCTGGAAACCAGAGCCAGGTCCTCTGGAAGAGCTGCACTGTGAACTCCTTATTGCTGAGTCATTTCTCCAGCCTCCTGGACAATAAACTCTGGACCTGACTTGATTCTCATGGCACGACACCTATGTTGCATCTATTCTCATTTCTCTTTTACATAGTTATAACAAATAGTTTTTTTCTGTACAATTTTAAAGAGGGAATCTTGGTACTTTGCTTTTATGGAAATAGAGCAAGGGGGATGAGCTGATGAGCCTTTTACCCTGTCATGGAGGACATGGGATGCTTCAGCCTCATCAGGGGTAGGACCCATTTTGCTTATAAAGAATTTCATTTTGGCTCCTAAATGTATTTGTGCCAGTTTTAAGTGGCAAAGTCAGTAGCAACTAACCATGGAACCATGAAACTGAAAATTACTCCCTCTTAAAACTTTACAATCTGTTCTATGAAAACATAGCTGAGATCTGACTTGAAATTAACCTGGCACCAGCAAAACCCAAACTTTCCAGTGACTTCCATGGTGGAGATCACCGACAGGGCTTCCATGTTCAAAGGAAACCTGAGAGGAGCTGGTTCGAGCCAGCAATACAGTGAGTGGGTGCAGGCCCTCCACATAGGCTACCCACGCAGTTCGTGCTTGCATAAATTACCTACCACTGCTCCCAGACGGGAGGAAAATGTTTATGTACCATCACTAGGAAGATTAGATTAGGCAGTATGCAGAGAAAATAACACTCAGCAGAATGTAACTGTTTCCACCCTTTGCTACAACTGAACACTAACAGACCCCCTCTATATGAAGGGGTGGGGAGGAAGTCATGGCTTCACTGGAGGGCAATAGTGTTTTGGTTTAATGGAGATGGAAGGCTCTGAGGATACTCCCTGTCTGAGAGACCATACCATGGTGGGCACTGGATTCACAAGGGGGCAATCTGGTATGAGAATCCCTTCTAGAACTTTCAGGAGGGCTAGAGTGGGAGGGAGCCTCCCGTTGGGCAGACAGTCTAAGTTCCTTTCATTAAACTCATAAGACATCTCAAACATGCTCCTGGCTGTATTTCCTTTTACAAACATATATAGCCCCATACATGACAAAGCTACCCCTGTAAAGCAATAAACCTAGGCCTCTGCCTTCCAAGAATAAGGTTATGATAAAGACAAATTGTACTCTGGCCAGAAGGCATGGAAAGCATTTGCAATGGTACGTAGTGAAAAACCTCAAACTTCTGACTGTTGGGCGCAGAGGCAGAACCATCAAAAAATCACTAGAGTGGCAACATTCAGTGAGACCGCAGTCTATCCCCAGAAAACCGAGCATGGAGGGCAACCCCCATGCCCCGGCTAATCCCAACACCAGGAGACATTCTTGGATTGAGACACTTTGACAAGTAGTTCCACTTGAGCTATTTCTCCACAGAAGGGGCTACTCTCTATGCCTGCCCTCCCTGTGTACCGTCTGTGTCCTCCATGTGTGGGAAAACAAATCATAAATATGGGCGGAGTAAGAGCAGAGGTAAATGTAGAAAGCATCTCTGGAAAGGAGCTAATTTCATGAGATCTGACAAGAGTAGGGCTCTCCTGGGGGGGATTAAAGGGGAAGACACTTCCCCGGCATCTTTGGCTTACCATGACAACTCCTCCAGACTGCTCTGCAGTGCACATGCTCATGATGGGTGCCATGCCGATGGTGGTTCCTTGGAAATAAACCCCACTAAAAAAAAAAAAAAACAAAACAAAAGGAAGGACTGTCTTCAATCTCATGCACTAAGGATGCATTTTCCAACAGTTCAAATTTTATTTAGCCATGCCTGCAGCAGAATGTTTAGTGATGCAAACAGCCCCAGGAGAGGGTATTTACTTGTGACTTTTATCTTTTGTCATTACACTTTACTTTTCCAGTTGCAAGATGGTCCCATCATTCTTGCAGAGTTTTGCTGTTCAGACTCAGACAGCGGCCAGGCAATATTTTGCATTTCTTTTTTTTTCATTCATTTATTTAGCTCATAAATAAAGTCATGCACAATTATGATACAGAATACAGTATGTTCACAATGGCATGGCTAAATTAAACCAATTAACATGTTATATCACACATATTCATCATTTTTGTTTTGAGAACACTTAAAGTATACTATCTCACAACTTTTAAAATATAGCATATTGTTATCAACCATATTTATCATGCTCTCGGTCTGCCTGCTTCCTGATGGACTGTAGGGAGCTGTTCTTTGAAACAATGCCTGCTGATAGAAAGGCTTGAGAAGTCACCGGGAATCACTGTTTGCTGAAGGAAACAGGAGACAGCTTGGGAGATTTTCTGTTGTAGCTGGGGTTTGCTTTCCTCATCATCTCTAGACACGAAATCCTTCATAGTGTTCTGCCAATATGGCTTTTGAGACTGAAATCGGCAGAAAAGTGATTGCTCCTCTAGAGCCAGTGTATAGCAAGTAAGCACCCACAACACGCCTTGGCACGAGGAAGTTTCTGGAAGGGAACTTCGTGGCTTCCATGTAGGCGTCCTCCTATCCGGAATCTCAGCCTGATCATGAATCTAATCATACCAAAGGAATGTTTCAGACAAGTGTGTTAATCTCAGGTTCATGCTTTAAAACTTTAACACTGTATTTGTTGGACTTCTATAAAATAATCAAGTGAACTTAGTCATGTTTTGTTGGCGGTGAACCAACACAGACAATGCAGTAGTGAGAGTTTGAAAAGTCAAATATGAGGCAGGAGAGATGGCTCAACGGTTAAGAGCTGGCTGCTCTTCCAGAGGACCTGGATCCATTCCCAGCACCCAAATGACAGCTCACAACTGTCAGTAATGCCAGTCCTAGGGGATCCAGCTTCTTCTTTTGGCCTCTGTGGGCACATATGGTGCAAAGGCACATAGCTCTGTTTCTTTTTTTTCTTTAGTTTTCTTTTCTTTTTTCTTTATTTCCTTCTTTTTATCAATTATATCTCTGCACTAGAGCCATCCCTTATCTGTGGGAATTAAACTCAGAATCCTCTGAGGGTACTACAACTCATAGATACTCAATTCCTTCTATCAAATGACATTGTGTTTGCAAAAGAAACTATGCATCCATATAATTTAATCTCTTTAAGGCAATGTAAGTGCTCTGTCAGTCATTATACTGAATTATTCAGGGATGACAGGGATAAAGGTCTGTACATGCTTAATAAGAATAGAACTTTTTCTCTGACATTTCTGGTTTGAGGATGGTTGGATCCACAAGTGTGGAACCCTCAGATGTAAAGGGCCAACTAAACACTCATATTCACAGCCACTCTATTTACAGCTGCTCATATATACACCATATGAACAGTTACAAATATACATACAAGTAAATAAGAAGGTTAAAGAAGATGTTAATTTATTTCCAGATATTTAGGTTGGGCAGATTCCTTTAGAGGAAAAAACAAAGACAAAACCAAAATATTTGTGGATCCAACCACCCTCAAACCAGAAATGTTATCCCTGTCATCTCCACATTAATTGCTACTCTAATGCTTTCCATTTTTCTGTTTCCTCTCAGCAGACAGAGACTTGCCAGAGCAAGAACATTTACTGACCACTGTTACATTCAAATCACCTAGCTGGGTCCTAGCAGGTGCCCTATGGATACTGATTAGAGGAAGAACACAAGGCTTGGATGATACTCCCTGACTTGGAAAGCCAGAGAGAACTTCTCCACTAGAGAAGGAAGGCCCTGGTGTTTCTCCAGGTACCCGACAATCTTCACTCATATGCCTTGCCCTCAGATTGTGTAAAAACATAGAATGTTTTCCACTAATGATACACTGCTATTTGAGGCAATCTTATTAAGAATAAGACCAGAAAAATTAGCACAGAGGAAAATGCTCAGTTGTGGAAAACCAAACCAAACCAAACCAGAATGAGAGTCCTGCAGAGGGACAGGAGACTTCCCCAATGGGTCTGTGATGCCAGGTGGTTGACCCCTGATGCAGGCCAGGAAGCCCCTTGGAGGAGTCAGTATGCTGTATAGACAGGTGTGGCTCTGGGTACCCTCAGGCTTAGCACACTGGAGGAGAGTGTGTGCAGAATCTCTCACCTGATAAGCTGAGCATTGTCGTGGGATTTGCGAGGTAGAAGCTTTATCTTCCTCCAGTCCAGAAATTCATGGAGACTGGTGAATGGGTCCTGGCTTATAGAGCATTTGTCGATGTCATTCCACACTTCCACTCCTACTAGCACAATCCGGATGTTCAGTGGTCTGTAAAACTAGGAAAATGGGCATCGTTGGAGGATCACATTATCAGAAACTTAAAAAGAAAATTGGAACCGATTTCACTGTTGAAGTTCATTGCTGTAAGTCAGGAAAACTCCTCTCTATGCACCTTTGTTCCCATGGCAACAGGACTTAAGAAATAGTCTTAGTGCCTGATGCAAAGTGAAATGTTAACTGTATTCCCCAATGTTGTCCAATTTGATGCTAAAGTTACTAGCCATTTCTTTCCTGTCTGGCCATAGGGGAGGGTGCCTTTCAAGTGACTTGCTATGATTTAAATGTGGGTATAAGTTACTATATACTGCAAGTAAAAAGAAAAAAAAACAATGACTGGATGAAGATCATTCAGTCACTTCTGCCAGGAATAAAAATTTTTTTTCATTTTAAGTACAGTGTTCTGCATCTAAGGTACTGAAGATGTATCTGAATTTCTCAGCAAAGACTCAGCTTTAGCTGACACTATCATATCAAGTTAGGAAGTTTAGTGTCTTTCAGAATAATGGAAGCATAGACAAAGCCTTCTTCAGTAACTTATAACCACATTTTTTCTCACTGTACCAAGAAGTTATCTCAGCCCTGGTGAGCTGGGAAGATCTGTCATGTGGAGTTCCTCTCACAGGAGCTTCAGGCAGGCCTAGAGCAAGTCTTCTCATTATAGACAGTAAAGACTTTAACCAAAGCCCCCAGTCCGTAGGAAATCAGGGGAAGGTAATGCTTCTAGTTGCCAAAGGATGGCTTGTCTCATCTATGCCTACAGGGGCAGTATGAGTGGCTAGCCAACATGGAATGCACATCCATACCAGGGTTGATGCCAAGGTTCTTCTAGGCCCATAGTTCAGCCCAGGAAGAAACTGTAGAGTTAAGAACTGTTACTGTTTCCATTTATAGTCAAGACAATGAGGCTGGGTGGGGCCCTGTATAAATCATCCTTGCTTTATATGTAACAGCACACCAACAGAGAGATAACTCTGTGGTCACAGATAAGGAGGTAAGGACACGAGTCACCTTGTTGCCTATTAACCTTTGGATGCCAGTGACATACAAGTCCACATGCACCAAGAAAGTCCCCATCTTCTGAGACCCTGTCTACACAAGGAGAAAGGCATTACAGCCAACTCCAGAGGGAAGCAGATACTTGGAGTTTCTAGTAACATCTGGCCAGCAAGGAGCAGGAATCCAGCAGTTCTGCATTGGAGAGTTAAGCATCATTCCAATGTGGTGAGCTGAAGCACAAGGAGCTCCCTAAGGCTGAGCCCCTGACCCCAGATTCTCAACTGCACACGAGGCAGCTCATCTTCTCCCTCTCTGATCCCCAGAGTCACATGGTGAACACTGGGTCAGCAGCAGAACCAAAGAACTCAGCTGGGGCACAAATTATGTCATAGGCTACACTGATTTCAGTGGTCCAAGTTGAGGTTAAACTGATAACAAAGTCCATATGAAATTAATACATTAATGAGACAATTACCTAAGCAAAATGTTGTCCAATGGTATGTTTTTAATCAAGCAGCACAAGACTTGTACCTATTTGCAAACTTCTAGCCCAGATTACCCGGGAAAGATAGTTCCTGGACCATTCTGAATAATGCCTGCTCATGCCAGGGGCACCCCTTAAGATGACATCCCATTCTGTGTCATATGCAAAGGTCATAGTAATCAGAAAACAAATTCAATGCTGATATTTATGCCAGCTTCCTAAGAGATTCACTTAGGTCCAGATATCCTGAGTGGCCTTCAGGATTGTCTTCTGAGAAATGGACACTGTTTGCCTCCAGAGTATTGAGTGGAAGCAGGAACTGATGTCAGCCCAGGCCTAACCTATCATCTTTCTCAGCACTAACCAGCAGCATACCCAATGGGGGAGGTTTTCATGTCAATGGAGAGGTTGCATTTCTCTGTGAGTCCTCTCAAATCACATCCTAGCCCAGATTTCAGACCTAGTGGAATGTCACCTCCTCTCTAAAGTTGGTACTGTTGTGTTACCTCCCATGTATGCTATGCCTACTTCAAGCCATTATGCACTGTGCCTTGGGTTTGCTCACAGGTCATCTTGGTTCTTGTTAGTGAAGTGTAATGAGCACAGGTACAGCCATGGCTTGATTCCAAGGTGTTTCCTAAGCCCAGGCTTAATCCTCAAAGTGATTCTATGTTAGGAACTGTTATTGCTCCCATTTTAGTGTCAAAACACGAGGCTTGGAGGGACCAGGTAAAATATTCAAGATCATGACCGCATGGCTGGACTGGCACACACACAGACAGGTTGACTCTGATGTCCTGATTTGAACCAGTAAAACTGCCACCCTCATGTGAACACTGTGACTGCAGACTTTGAGAAAAGCTCATGGACCTACATAGGGCAAATAGAGCTTGGCATCTGCCTGCCTGGCTCAGGGATCCCAGAACATATGTAAACACAGTTAGAGACACAGATGAGTGATTCTCCTATTAAACAACAGCTACAACTGTTTGCTATCAGTTCTTGCTGTGGGCAGGAACATGCCACAAGCAGAGAAAACAAAGAGTAGGATGGCTTTGCCCTGGCTCAGCTGCTCAGAGGTCAGCACAAGGCTTTAGGCACAGGAGGTGCTACCATGAATCCAGTTAACTGATATGGTATCTCACGGAACAATAGCATCAACAGGAAGTCCAAGGAATGCTGTGCTGGAGGGGTCAAAGTTTTCTGGAAGGAGTGGATAAGAAACAAGGGAGGTAAGATTCTCTAGGGTCTCAGGAGAGCTTGCATTCTTCAGGCAACTGGCATAGGAGGAGGAAAAGAGGGTGGTCATATGAGTGAAGAAGGCTGAAGAAATTCAGTGTCCCTCAGATGGCCACTGAGGCTTGGAGCTGAAGTCACAGCTTAAGAAGTTTGGGTTGGAGTGATGGCTTCAAGATGCAAGTCTTCAGTGTCCAGATGTTCACTCTGCTGCTTCTGCTGCAATGTAATCACGACCCAGGAACAATAACTTCAGCAGGTCCGTCAGACACACATTCTGTTTCTGTCATCTGTGATTTTCTGACCCCTTTTTAGAACCTCACCTTTGTCTCTGAGTCACTTCTCTGTCTCCCAGTCTGGGGATTTCTCTTTTTTCAAGCCAGTACAGCTCAATAGTTATTAATTTAGAATGCCCAATCAAGCCAAGATGTCAGCAAATGAGGAAGTGGCCACTGATACAGTAAGTGAGTTTTGGGCTGAGATGCTCCCTTGAGTGTAGTTGCAAAACTGAAATTGGGAAGTCTGATGTTGCCTGGAGCCATCAGCCAACAGCTGTGCACAGAGTTGCCCCAGGAGCCTGAGTTTTCTCTCCAGGGTCTCTAGGAGCTGTTGAAGGGTGGGCAAGAATACCAGGGCTAAACATGTCTATATGCTTAGTGAATTGGCTCTGCTCTCCCTTTATCCAGGCTGGCACACTTGAAGGAGCCCACCAGGGCTTCTAGAGGCATACTGTTCTTTAATGACCAGCATGAGCCATTAACAAACTCCCAATTGCTCATTTTCAGTTTTGTGAAATACAGCAAGATAGAACCTAGAATAATATGTAAAGACAGATAAAAGCAGAGGGCCAGATATACCACTTATTAAAATGGGGGTCTCAGCCATTTCTAGTTAGCTGTTAGTGTAGTCCATCACTTCCTTTTACTTCTGAGGCCTGGGACGAGCTCTTTCACTCCTTAGGCGCGATGGAGGGCTTCCAGATGAATCTGCCTTGGTGAGGTTAGGGTGCTGCCTTGGCCTCTTAACTATCCAAGCCTTTCACTCTCTGTCACCTGTTTTAAGGAGAACTCTGCATGGATCTGTGCCAAGTTCCACCAAAGTCAACCATCTTAGGAAGTCCGAGATTTAGGAAGCAGTATTTAAAAGAGTAATCCCATGAACAAACAAAATGCCCCAGGGAATTCTAATGCCCCAGTCTGATTGTGGTCCTGCTTTTCTTTCTTGGACAAGTCTCGGGTAGCTGGTGCTAGCCTCCAACTTGCCATGTAGGTGAGGGTGACCTTGGACTTCTGATTTCCTGTCTCTACCTTCCAAGGACTCTAATACAGGCAAGCTCCACCATGCCCAGTTTATGTGGTGCTGGGGATGGGACTTCTCTTCGTACCCAGAAGGTGAGCACTCCACCTACTGGGCTATATCCCTAGTCCCTGAGACCCAGCTTTAATTCTTGTGCTATGCTTGACATATTTCTCAGGATCCACATTTTACCTCCCTTCTCCAAAAGGACTGGTCCACTAACCAGGTTTCTCTTTCATCCCTTGACTTTAGGGTACACAGTAATGTGTGAGCAGTTACCACTGTAACATTTTAAAGCCATGCATTACTCCAAAGTTCAGCTTGCCTCAAGGGTCTGACAAAAAGGGGTCTGAAGAAAGAACTGGGTCCTTGGGCTGTGTGACCCTGTTCACACACAAGCACAATCAGGAATGCCCACGAGCCCTCATGAACACACACGTGTGCATGCACAAACACAAGCACACATCAACACGTGCCCATGCTTTGTAATCACAAGGAGCTGCTCACTGTATCTATAAGTGTTGGGAGCAGACCAAGCCCTTCCCTACTCTAAGGGTACTCCCTCACCCACTCTCCCCACCTTGCAAGATCACTGTCCCGACTGCAATGACTCTTGTCCCTATCTTCTGAGGAATTGAGTAGCTCTCGTATGTAACTCCAGAGACCTCTGCTTACAGCATTGTTGTGGGGCTATCACTTGGGTGCAGGATGAAGGGTTTATATGTCTACCTGCTATGGGTCTGCTGTGACTGCAAACACAGCGATTATATCTGATTTGATGCACAGAACCCAGGACCCCGTGTTATCCAAGAACTTGTAGGATAAAGATGAATTTATGCAGAGACTTTTGCCTTCCTCTTTATGAAAGGGTTGAAAATTCAAATTGGACAGAACAGGATTGCTCGAAACAAAAGACGCAGAGAGGAGCCCCTTCCAAACTGCTCTGTGTGAAAGGTGGCTATGTTGGAAAAGCCTGGCTGTGAAAGGCTCAGTTACATCCAGGCCCTCCTTTCTCTGTCACAGGCAGGAGATGCATGACTACTGAGAAGCCCAACTTTGTCTCTGCTTCAGCCTTCTCACCACCAGTGGTATATATAGTGCAGCCCTATACCAGGTGAGTTCCTGGCTTTGGGCCCTGGAGCTGCCAGCCACACAGAATGTGAGACTCTAGGGGACATCTGAAAACCCTCACCTTTGCCAGCAAACAAGAAGTCAGAAAGGTCTTTGGAAGCTCTTACCCCCAGCACTGACGTATAAGCCATTGAGAGAAGCCTTGCTTCCAATGAGAGCCATCAACCCCGCACAGTCCAGATTCTGTCCTGCAGGACGCCACTGGGAGCAGGGTGCTTTAGACAGACAGAACCCCCACTTTCATGCCAGAAGGTTTTAGAAGGAATCAGATTGCCAGAGACTCTTCTCCCAGAAATCGTCTTGTGAAAGTAGTGGTGGGGTACCCCCGGTTCTCAGTGAGGGACTTCAGATAGCAGTTGTTCTGACAGGAAGTGCTCTCCAAAATGCTTCCAAAAATAGTTTTGATTATTGAGGTGTGATTGGATCCTGAAGACTCGGACCTAATCAAATGATTGCTGTTTGACTGGAATAATACTAGAGTGCTATTACTGGGAGGTGGAACCTAGTTTAAGGATTACAAGGGTGTGTCCTGAAAAGATATACTTGGGGGCCACTCCTTGACTCTCTCTGCTCCCTGGCCACCACAAGTTGAGCAACCCTGTTGCACCATGTCCACTCTGCAATCATGCTCCAGAGCCTTGGAGTCAGCAGACTTCAGCCTAAAACTCCCAAAGTCACAAGGTGAAATAAACATTCCGTCCTCTACAGTTTTTCTTACAGGTATCTGTCATACTGTTGTTTTGTTTTTTTGTTTTTTAAAAATCTAACATGGTGATTGAGCCAGAAGTCTGCTTTTGGTTTCTGATAGTGGAGCTTGTAGAGTCTACCCTCTAGTCCACATTGGTACATTGTGAACTTCACACTGGAGAGCAGAGAAGAGGCCTGGCTACCAAATTCCCAAAGGTTCAATGCATCCTTCTAATGGGATTCCATCTAATGCATTGTCCAGAATTCTCTTAGGCTAGAACACTTCCCAGCAAGACAAGATCCTAGAGGAAGCTGAGTCCCTGAGGCCTCCACAGTCCAGACTAGCTAGGGCTGGAGTCCCGTAAGTTGCCCAGGACCTGGATACCAGCTCAGAGTACTGGACACCAGGACCAGCAGAGGATGCTGAGTCCCTGAGGCCTCCACAGTCCAGACTAGCTAGGGCTGGAGTCCCATAAGTTGCCCAGGACCTGGATACCAGCTCAGAGTACTGGACACCCAGGACCAGCAGAGGACCCAGAGGCAGATCTTGGTCTCGATGCTCAGTCACAGGAAGAGCACGTAATTGTCCCAATCTCATTTCCAAGCATTGACATGATTTGAGGGATTTAATTACCTGTAAAGGAACTTACCTTATCAACGTGATTAGCAATCTCTATTAACCGCTGCTTAACTTTCTCCAGATCTTTTCCTTGCCTCTGAAACTTAACCATTTGAAATGCCAGCATTAGTAACAATAAGAATATCAACCTGGATTCTTATTCCCAGATCCTGAGATGTGAAGTCTTGGGCTCCGGAGATACCCTGAACTATGTCCTCAAGCCAAAGACCCATACGGTAACCTCTGCAATTCTTTCAGCCTCAGAAATGATGGAGGCAGGGACATGTTTTGGCAAAGAGAAAATGGACAATGGGAAGGCTGTCCAAGGCCACTTTTCATATCATCAGCTTGATTTTTAACTTCCTGAGAAATTTCCTTTAGATTTGTTTTTAAACATTAAATATGAGAAGCAAGAAAAGCTCATGGCAACATGTCCAAGAAAGAGGATGGAAAAAAAATTAGCAAATTCCCCATTCTCTCCTCTAAGTTGACCTTCCAGAATGGGAAGAGTTTTCTGAGAAATTGTCAAGCTGGTTTCACTCATGCATGTTGAATGAGGTTAGGAGAAAAATGTCACCAATTTATAACATGTTAATGGGATGGTAAGAAACCATAGGAAAGATAATCTAAAGAAAATTGATTCACAATGAAATGAAAGAAAAAAAATCAACAGGACAGAGCTATATCACAAGAGGGGAGGATTCCTCTACCATGTCTGTATAGCACTCGTTCATTCGTTCATTCATTCATTCATTCATTCATTCATTCATTCATTCAGATGAAGACAAGGAAAGATAATCTAAAGAAAATTGATTCACAATGAAATGAAAGAAAAAAATCAACAGGACAGAGCTATATCACAAGAGGGGAGGATTTCTCTACCATGTCTGTATAGCACTCGTTCATTCATTCATTCATTCATTCATTCATTCATTCAGGTGAAGACACACCAAACTTTTCCCAAATTGTCAGAATGTAATTTAAGGTCATCCATCAC